AAACCCGTCTGTGTTCAGAGAGATTTCTAAAGAAATGTCCGAACGCGGCCGCAGGAGAACGAGGCTGCAGCGTCAAAGAACAGTTGCTTTGAAAGCAAAGTTTAAAGAATCCGAGGACGCGAACCAAAGAAGTGACCGCGCCCTTTTTACGGCTCGAACACATTCTGGGTGATGAGCCCAGCTGTCAGTCAGTGAAGCTTCATGATGGCTCCTGTGATGCTGGTGAAGATGAAGCTGATCCTCCGGGAGCGACTGGCGTTCGTTGGCAGTCGTGATTGTTTACCTCTGGATGAGCCGTGAAGCAGCGTGACGCTCTGATCTTTTGAGCATGCGGGCTCAGTTTAGGAGCTGATCTGTTCAGACTGATGTCGCATACAGATCACATTTAAAAGATAATCTGAACAGACAAACAAAAAATCTGATCTGGTGAGAAAATCAGATTTGGGCCACTTTTACCTGCTGTGTGAACGTAGCCTTAGCTTCCATGTCAGAGAGTGGACGTGGCGGAGTCTTTAAGGGGACAGTAAATAAATACACAGGGTGGGAAAGGATTAGCAGAATTAAAATCGACATAACCGACACGGGCGAGATTACGTCACTTAGAGGTTCTGAATGTCGGTTTCCATTACTTTTCGTTTAAAGTACGTACAGGTGCAGCACACATTACTTCACAACACGTCAGACACAGAAAGCTGCGTTCTCTTCAAGCCCTCGTTAATCAGCACTCAGCAAACCTAAACAAGAGCCTGAGACTGAGAGGAAGGGAGGGACACAGCGCTGAGAAACAGGGCGCAGCGGCAGAACTGAGACATTTCCGTCTGTTTGAAATATCACAAAACTCCTTCCTTAAAGAGCCCGAATCGCTGAAAACACAGTCAGAGAGTCAAAACAGTCCATACAGGGAACTATGCCCTGTTCTGATTACTTCATGGTTGTGATGTCACAGCCATGAACACATTCAGAAATTACACAGGCATGTCCGGTCTGCTTACAACAGTTTAGCCCCCCCCACTTAATTTTGTAGAGTGTTGTTACTGTTTTGTCTTAATGAAGCACAATATGGGGCAGCCAATCAGAACAGACGTCATTTACATACAGCAGTGCAGGAAAGTCTTTGGCACCTACAAGCACATGATTTAAAACTTGTTAGTAAGCAATAAGTGTGTTTGTAAAAAACAACATAAATCAGTATAATAAATACATTTTTTTTAATTGATTTAATTGATTCTTTAATAATAAATAAATATATATATATATATAATGTATAATTAACAATAATTATCATTTAATATTTAATTAAACATTTTTTAATTCCATCAATTATTTATTTATTTTTAATTTCCATCAAAAGCACCTGATTTAAGTTATAATATTACAATATTATTATATTATATTAATTTATAACGTTAATAAACCTTTATTTATTTCAACCCGGAAGTACATCGAGGGAGACCCTCGTTTACTATGTAGCCGAGCAAATTACAAGGGATCGAAAAAGTTGAAATGAAATTTACCAACTAAAACAAGTGAAAATCGGCAAGCCAAATAAATAAAAAATAAATAAATAAATAAATAAATATATAAGCTCAAGTAGGAAGCGGACATTAACATACATAAAACTACTACTTAGTATATTAACATCATTAGTGTTTATTTTAATATTGGTGCTTTTCTGAGCACTTCCTGCCCACATAAACAGCTTTTTATTTTACATTTTTTCAAGTACTAAAATCTTTTGCACAGTTCTGTATATCAGTCTTTAAGTCACGGTACCAAAAACAGCCTTTTTACTTCTGAGAGATTAAGAGAGGTTGAAAAATGATAAACTCAGAAGCGTATTATGACGTTAAGTAGGAGTTCAATGGAAAAGAAAGATTAAAAATTGGAGAAAAATAAATGATACTGGGCTCTTTAAAGTGATCTGACCGCAGTTCTGAGCTGCGCTGTGTCTCTCCGTATGCGCTTTGCTGTGAAGGCTGAGAGAAGGCAGGCGGTTTACACACAGAGTGGACAAACCTTCAGCCACCTGACATGCAAGAAGCTGATAAAGAAAGAAAATTGAGCCACATACTCCTCTCCCGGCGGAGGGGCGGAGTTTAGCTCCTGATCAGCAGCGCGCAGCGTGAGGAGAGACAGAAAAACACAGATAAGAGCAAGAAAAGCACAACAGAGTTAAACTGCACAGTTAGCACAACAGGAGACGCTCCATAGGAGTTAGAAGCACTGATGGGGCTGATTTTAGTGAAAAATACACACTTTCTCCAGCTTCTACATTTACAATAACATCTGACACCAGCTGAGTTATCATTCACATACACTGATCAGGCATAACATTCTGACCACCTCCTTGTTTCTACACTCATTGTCCATTTTATCAGCTCCACTTACTATATAGGTGCACTTTGTAGTTCTACAGTTACAGACTGTAGTCCATCTGTTTCTCTGATACTTTGTTAGCCCCCTTTTACCCTGTTATTCAGTGGTCAGGACCCCCATGGACCCTCACAGAGCAGGTACTATTTGGGTGGTGGATCATTCTCAGCACTGCAGTAACACTGACGTGGTGGTGGTGTGTTAGTGTGTGTTGTGCTGGTCTGAGTGGATCAGACACAGCAGTGCTGCTGGAGTTTTTAAACACCTCAGTGTCGCTGCTGGACTGAGAATAGTCCACCAACCAAAAATATCCAGCCAACAGCGTCCTGTGGGCAGCGTCCTGTGACCACTGATGAAGGACTAAAGGATGACCAACACAAACTGTGCAGCAGCAGATGAGCTATCGTCTCTGACTTTACATCTACAAGGTGGACAGACAAGGTAGGAGTGTCTAATAGAGTGGACAGTGAGTGGACACAGTGTTTAAAACTCCAGCAGCACTGCTGTGTCTGATCCACTCAGACCAGCACAACACACACTAACACATTACTCAATTTCATTCCTTTCTAATTTAATACAAAGTTTTTCCAATATAAATACTATTATTAGTACAACCATCTGAGTGAAAAGTAGAATCTTTGAAATTTTAACACGAACTTCAGAATCTCTTAGTATTTGGTGGTGTGTCCCTTCAGCTTTAATGACAGTGGCTGTGTTTACATGCAAATCTGATTGAATACATTCTGATTACAGATTAAGACTGCGGTGTTTATATTCTCACTCTACTCAACAGTCTGATGGATCTGTTTACATGTACACTACAAGTAATCAGATCCAAAATGACGCGCATGTGTAGAGAACCACTTAGTGTAGATGTTACCATGACAACCAGCATCACGTGAGTCCAGTCAGAGTGAGATGAGCAGCAGTGAGCAGCGCTTGTGTTTTTAACTGCTTTAAAATGATGTCAGACTCAGGTAAACGTCCTTCACATGTCCTTATTAAAGAAGGCCGAGAGGAAGACGTCGTGTTCTGAGACACATAAGCTGGACGTCCGTCCCACCGCCGTCTTTTAAAGACCAGAGCATAAACTTCGTCTCCTCTGCAGACCAGTTTCTGCTCCGCCATGCTGAACGGTATAAATTTTCACTATGACGTGACGAACACGATCAGAACGGACTTAAACTTTCCGATAGGGAATGTAATCAGATACAGGCGTTTACACGGTTATTATTCTTCTATTTAATGGATTATTTACAGGATTACCCACCTCGATCAGTCGGATAGAAACTGTATTCTAAATGGCCTCAATCGGACTAGACTATTCCGACTGAGCTGTAAGTCGGATAATTAACGGATTATCAGGCTGCATGTAAACGTGGCTGCTGTGCTCTCGGGCTTCTGGACACTGTACAGTCATATAACAGTCCTGTCTTACATTTGCTACGATGTGTGACTGTATTTAGTGCAGTAGTGATCAGTCATAAGAAAAAATATAACTTTATATCATTAAATTCTTACACTCTTATTCAGTGTGTGAACCCCCTGGTATTCGGGGGGCTGCTAACTCTCTCTCCATAGCGGCGCTGAAGCTTCAATGTCAGTAAATGTTTGTTTTATCAGCTGTTCTTCTGTAGAGTCTCTGTTCTAGTGCGGTTCTGCGCTCTTCCTCACAGTAACTGAGATCTTCCTCGTCTCCTCTTCTGCCTTCAGTGTGAGAAATGAGGAACAGTCACTCTTCACTCCAAACTCTTGGGAAACTGGGCGAGTTTTCAGATTTACAGATCTGCTGCAGCTCATTGTAAAGTTTTTCAGAGGAATCCGGGCAGAGTTACAGTTTCTAGGCTATGAAGGACCAACTGGGTGAACCAGTCTGCTACAGCGCCACCCTGAGGCAGAGCAGTGCTGCAGCTCTAGTTAGTTAAGAACACCAGAGACAGAAGCTGATTGTGGGGGAAGCAGCTAAACAATGACAGCATAACGTCATTATAGGCTTATTTTCAGGGACCCCCCAGAATTTTGATTTTGAGCCATTCAGGAGGTCCAAGAGGTTCAACTAGGGGCTTCTGGACCACCCAGGACCCCGTTTTTTTTACACCTTGCTCTTAGGATACATTAACCCATTCATATTCAACAACTACATTTAGTCTACACTCCACAAAACAACAGAGAATGATATCAGGTACCACTTTACAATAAGACGACCCTTATAAAGGGTTTATGAATGGGTTAAAATTACTTTATTAATGGTTATTTCATTAATAAACAGGGTAACGCTTGCAAAATAATGAGCCTACACTGATCTGCACTGTTACAGCTCAGATCTTTCTGGTCTCACTCCGCCCCCCCAGTCCGTCAGCATTAAACCCGTTATATTAATCACAAATTCATACTCATCAGCTCACTGATGCCCTTTTTCCTAATGTTTTAACGTCTTATGAACCATAATAACCGTTAATAAACTAGTTTTAAACTATTCATCAACCTTTATAAGGGTAGTTTTGTAAAGTGGTACCCAGTATCTTAAATATTCACTAACCTGTTCCAGCATTTGAGCTACATTCAAATAGTTTTCCTGATATTTGCATGACTCTAACTGCTGTGGTGAGAGGTATTTAAGCACTCACTGCTGATCGAGCATCGGCTACTCTGGCCTTCTTCAGCCTGGTTTTAGCTGCATCCAGATCCAGACGCTTATTCTGCAGCAGCTTTCGCTCTTTCTGTAAAAGAAATATGAAATAACACCATGTAAGATATGAACGTCAGGCATACGGCGCATTATAACTGACATCTGTACTGTGATGTTTTGTTTATACTGTATCAGCCCCACACCAAAGCCTTTATTTAAAGCATTTCCTTTGAGGAAATGGGTGTGTTTATTGCCTTCTGTGTAGCTTTTGTTGTCTTTGACCCAGTCATTCACTTTTACACACTGATAGTGCAAAATACAACAGAACCACACTGGCTCAGAACCCACTGAGCCTGATTTCCTGTATTCATCAAGATATGTATGATAACATGCAGTTATATGCAAATGGGGTCAATCAGTCAAGACGTGTTTAGTGTCTGAAGAGTGCCTCTTTAGTTTTAGCACTGAAGCTAAGAGGCTAATATAGCTAAGCAACAACAGAAGCTTATACTCCACCGATTAGCATGGTGTTCATGGGTAAAAGTATGTAGCAGACCTAAAAACAGCAGTAGCGGCCATCACTGTCCATGTTTATGATTAACAGTGCGTCACACAGAGTCAGAAACCACACAATCAAGTGGATTAGTGATCACTTAAAGGGCCCATATCCCACGGTTTGCTGTGTTTTTTTGTTTTTTTTTGCACAGATCCACATTGTGTGTGTGGGTTGATCTACCAAAACAGTCATAATTCATTTTTACATGACCATTTTATAACCTCTCTTTATCCCTCAGTATTAAACACGGTTTTTGTTACTGTTTCTTTAAGACCGATATATGTAAATGAGCTCAGTTCTGATGGCTGCCCTGTACTGTGCCTCATTCAAAAAGGAATCTGGGCTGCAACACTTCTTATAAGGTCAATGTGAATGGGTGGGGCTAAACTGCTGTAGGCTGAATGGGTGGGGCTAAACTGCTGTAGGCTGAATGGGTGGGGCTAAACTGCTGTAGGCTGAATGGGTGGGGCTAAACTGCTGTAGCTGAATGGGTGGGGCTAAACTGCTGTAGGCTGAATGGGTGGGGCTAAACTGCTGTAGCTGAATGGTGGGGCTAAACTGCTGTAGGCTGAATGGGTGGGGCTAAACTGCTGTAGCTGAATGGGTGGGGCTAAACTGCTGTAGGCTGAGTGGGTGGGGCTAAACTGCTGTAGGCTGAGTGGGTGGGGCTAGACTGCTGTAGGCTGAATGGTGGGGCTAAACTGCTATAGGCTGAGTGGGTGGGGCTAAACTGCTGTAGGCTGAGTGGGTGGGGCTAAACTGCTGTAGCTGAATGGGTGGAGCAAAACTGCTGTAGGCTGAATGGGTGGGGCTAAACTGCTGTAGGCTGAATGGGTGGGGCTAAACTGCTGTAGGCTGAATGGGTGGGGCTAAACTGCTGTAGCTGAATGGGTGGAGCAAAACTGCTGTAGGCTGAGTGGGTGGGGCTAAACTGCTATAGGCTGAATGGGTGGGGCTAAACTGCTGTAGCTGAATGGTGGGGCTAAACTGCTGTAGGCTGAGTGGGTGGGGCTAAACTGCTGTAGGCTGAGTGGGTGGGGCTAGACTGCTGTAGGCTGAATGGTGGGGCTAAACTGCTATAGGCTGAATGGTGGGGCTAAACTTCTGTAGGCTGAGTGGGTGGGGCTAAACTGCTGTAGCTGAATGGGTGGGGCTAAACTGCTGTAGGCTGAATGGGTGGGGCTAGACTGCTGTAGGCTGAGTGGGTGGGGCTAAACTGCTGTAGGCTGAATGGGTGGAGCTAAACTGCTGTAGGCTGAGTGGGTGGGGCTAAACTGCTGCAGGCTGAATGGGTGGGGCTCAATGGCCCTGCAGGCCCAGACTTACTAAGATGGTTTTGTAATCTCCATCGATGAAGTTCCTGAATGGAGTGAGGAAGTTGATGGCTGCACTGTGGATGAACTCCTTCTCAGCGCTCCCGAGCTGCTTCTCCGTCTCCCCACACTTAATCAGAGCGCTGCCTGCAGGAGGAGAAGAGAGGAAAAAATGAAGAGCACTTTCATTATTATGGTATCATAATATGTCATGCTGTCAAATCAAATGAACCACAGAAATGACGTGTTCATAGAAGTAGGTAAGTAACAAGCAGCCAAGAGAAGCTCTGAGTAGGCTCTGTCATTCTGCCTCTATATATTCTGACAGACTGTAATACACTACAGGAAGTGTAGGGGGCGATATGGCTTCTACTGTTTCATTTAAAAAGCCTCTATAATGTTCATATGATCCACACAGTCACTCTGACAGACTGTAATACACTACAGGAAGTGTAGGGGGCGATATGGCTTCTACTGTTTCATTTAAAAAGCTCTATTATGTTCATATGATCCACACAGTCACTCTGACAGACTGTAATACACTACAGGAAGTGTAGGGGGCGATATGGCTTCTACTGTTTCATTTAAAAAGCCTCTATAATGTTCATATGATCCACAGTCATTCTGACAGACTGTAATACACAACAGGAACTGTAGGCAGCGATGTGACCAATTGTTTAATGGTTTATTGGAATTAAAGAAGACAGAAACGTTCAATAAGTTGATTAATCAAATAATAGTAGACCAAGTCATTGATTACAGACATAATTGTTGGTTGCAGCCATAGTCCAGAGAAAACCCTCTATTTCTGTATGTATTTTATTTTATTTCTGTTTTTCTGATATCAAAAAAGTACTGACTGAACCAGTGAATCAATGAGTGACTTTCACTGGTGAACATTTACAGTAATAAACTGGTTAAACTGGGCACGATGGTTCTACTGGTTCTCACCGTACGCTGTCCCGGGTCCAAACTCGTGCCCGGCGTCGATCATGCCCTCCCCCAGCAGCTCGTGGTTGTTGGCTCGGGTGGGAACCTTTCTGTCCAGCTTCTCGTAAAGAAACTCCTCCATCCTGACATCTGCCCAGATCACACAAATCCAATTACAGTCATATGAGACATCATGCAGCCTTTTAAGAACCAGCAGCACCGGCCAGAACACAGCCAGGGCAGAGCCCACATCCATCAAGGTCAATAACCAACACTAAAGTGTGGACAACCCTCAAGCAGCAACCAGTACTAATGTGTGTAGATGGTAAAGTTTCTATCTGCTCTTATAAGAAACTCCAGCATTGAGGAGCTCGTGTTTCAGCATCATAATCACAGCCAGCTCTCAATCTGACCCTGAATTACTGAAATTAGGCGCTCAAATCTTCTCTGAACCCTCCTGGGACCCTCAGCTGTGAAGCGCAAGACATTACCCACTAAAGAGGCCCCTAAACTTCTACTAATGAAAAGTAAATTAATATAAGAAACTAATTAATTAATTAAAGCCCTGCTTCTATTCAAATACACTATTAAACAAGTGTGTTTGAGATGCTTTTTAAAAGTGCTATGAGACTACAGCTGATAGCAAGGCTAAAAAATGTATCTAAAATATCTAACTGCCATTTTTCTGAAACAACATCGTGACTGCGATTTAAAGTCTATTTTCCATCAACTGAGGTCCAGCTGACGCTTGCATAAAACTCCTAAAGTATTTATCTTAAATTAAATGCTTAAGGGATCAGTATGAAGCTGTAAATCTACATTTGTATCTATCAAATCAAATTTACAATTTGAGTTTCCATTCAAACATTTCCCTGAGGAGATTTTATGTAGTTTAGTTCAGGTAAACAGAAAAGATAAAGGCCCGAAATTCATTTAAGGTGTTTTATCTGAGTGACCACTGGCCTTTTTCTGGCCATGAAGACCAGCACATCCACTTTTTCTGGTCTGAGGCTTGGACACAGTGAACCAGACTACCAGTTAGCCGTGGCTGTGACTTTTCTGACCAACACTGCGATTTAAATGTGATTATTTTCTATAAATTCTTTCTATAAAAGGCCTCATTTTTGCATTTTTTTAGGCTTGATTCTTGAGCGCTGAACAGACTGCCAGGTCACGAGCTCTACATTATCAGGCTAAACTTCCCCACTGAACACTTGAAAGATGAATTATGTAGGATAAAATTAAATTTTCTCTTTCAAACTGCAATTTTGACATAAAAGCTGTTCATCTTTAAACCCCAGCTGATCTACTTGATATGAGGATGTAACTGTCTGTATTTCCACGAGCCAGATCTTTAAATAAAACTGTCGAAATGAAGAGCTGCAGTGTGAAACCAGCCTGAAACGGTCAGCTTGTAGTATAAATAGCAGCAGCTAATCCTGTTGATGTTTTGGTTTGTTTTTAGAGGAACATGATCTAAAACTTACTAAAACTTCTGCTAGATTAGATAAAACTTCAGCTACACTGGCCACTGTGCTAGCTAGCCTACTCGCAACCCAAACTGGGGCAGAGAAGTTATAAAAGAGGAGACGGCCACTGCTTTAAATATGAATGAGGAAGCTCATAACACTCAACCTCTGTTTGCAGATAAAGTCCTGCCCTTCAGTAAAAAGTGCCATTTAGCTTACTGGTCATGCTGTGAGCTCGGAGAGTCCCCTAGTTAAGAAGATCTGTAGCCAGAACAACCAGAAACATCCTGTTTTTTGTGCGTTTCTGAGCCAAACGCTGCAAATTATTCATGAGGTTTCTGTCAGATTTTGTAACTGATTTCAAATATGCTTTTTAACCTCTTTAACTCTGTGGTTCCAACACGCACTTCATCAGATTCTTCATAACTTTCATATTTCATAAGCTTCATTCTAAAGGTGGGGGTCGTATGAGAGCTGGAACTGTCTTCCTTCTAGTCAAATAGATGGGTGGTGTCATTTTAAACCCTTATAATAACCACAATTTTTTTTTCTACTGAAAGTCGACCCATTTTTCCACAAAGCTGGGCTATAAACTATAAACAGATGGCGTCTCTTCAGTGATCTGCTCTATAAACGATATTTTTATGAAATAATACAAAGAGCGTCTAAGATTTTTGGCTTTCAGCAGTAAATTGTAAGCATATAGCGATATGTGTATCATAAAACATGTTCTGTTAATTTGAGGGGAGCTTTTACAAAACAAATAAATAAATAAAATAAAAATTTACATTTATTTCATGCAGTTATGCAGAATAATTTGCCTTATGATTTGGTCATGTAAATTCAGATAGAAAAACCAAAATATACCCTGGTGAATAAGAGGTTAACGGTAATTTGACCTTCAGTTTTGAGTATTTTAGTCTCTCCTCGTTCAGAGAGAGAGGAGTCTGGCCTTGTATGGCTGACAATAACTGCCCAGCGACGTTGCAAAGACAAACAGACTCTCCTATAAAACCTTTGCTGAGGGGTTAACTAGCTAGCAGGTTTGCTGTTCAAACTAAGCAACATGTTGGTGTGTATTAGGATGTATTATGCATTTGAATTATTCAGCTTTTTTATACTGATTCTGCATGTACTGCTTCAAAAGTGTGCAACAGACTGAAGGTTTTTTGACTGAAGTAGAGCTGGGCGACGTGGCGAAACGTAATATCACGATGCTTCAGTAAGTTTTTTTGCGATACACAATCTGTCACGATATTTACTTTTTCTCTCATAAGCTACAATAAAGTAAGCCTACATTTTAAAAACACCATCAAAAACTATGAATTGCATTATTTCTCTTCCACATTTGACAGTGCTGCACTAAATCCAATTAAACAGGATTAATTATGCTCTGTTTATAATCAAATGCAGCTGCTAAGTGGTTTTGAAGTACTGAAATTATCCACAATATCCTCAGAAATGCTTACTGTGACATTGTGGTGTAATTTTTATCATTTTATAAAAATAAGTACTGTCATATTGCCCAGCTCTAAACTGAAGGCTATGATAAATTAAGCCAGGCTCAAGCTTACACCAGCGTGAGCTGCAAAATAATGGCAATAAATTACTTTACAGATTTGGAAACGTTTTAATCAAATATTTATTTAGACTCCTAATCTGTTATTACCTGTTTCCCCCACTCTAAAATTTAACAAGTCTTAAATCTGTCGTTCGAGTCAAGCTGCAAGTCAGTCGACATGCTGAGTCCCCATCTCTGACTGCGATGCACCTTCCAATATAAACACGTAACCCTTGGTGTGCGTAAGTGAACTCGATTCATCAAAACGCCCACAGATCCGTCTGGAGGTGGGCGATATGGTAGAAAATGTAACATCACAATACTTCAAGAAGGTGTCATGATACACGATATATCACGATATTTACTCTCCGACACCTGCTAAGTCAGAATAGACAAAGTAGCACCACATTTTTAAAAAATACAGTGATATGCATTCATCATTTCACACTGAGCTGCACTAAAGCCAATCGAACAGGACTGATTGAGCTCCCTTTGTAATCAAATATGCAGCTGTTTTATATCCACTATATGCTCGGAAAAGCATATTGTGGCATACTGTGATGGAATTTATCCTGATAAATACTGCCATATTGCTCAGCCATGGATCCATCTGTGATTATTGGCCTGCATGCAGTAATAGATTTATTGGCTCATTTGCATACTGCCCACTATTACAATATCATTAGTGCGAACTGTGCAGCCCTATTAGCACATTACTTTACTCTTAGTGTCAGTGTAATTAGTCCTGAGTCAGCTTGTTTTTGAATGCAGACGTCCTCCTTACTCGGGTTGGGCTGCAGTACAACCTCCGTCTGCTTCATGATCTTCTCCGTCCAGTGTTTCGTAGCTTCCGCACGGATGAGCAGGTTCTCCAGGTGGGCATCGAGCTCGGTTTTTTCGGCCTGGCCGAGCTTCTCCTCAGTAAACTGGACAAAAAAGGGGGGGAGGCAAAGAAGGACAGAGGTCATCTGTATTGCTTTGGCACTTTTTACATAGGATAATGCACAGTTCATATTTCATAACTCATTAATGTCTATAATGTGATTACAGAATGGTGCCTAAGTGTATTTAAGATTACTGGGTTGGACCTAAAATAAGAAAAATAAGAAAAAAATAAGTAAATAATAGCTGTATATGGAAACGAGGCAACGGTGCTAAAGCCAAGCAGACTATTACTTTTGGTTTTGGTTTCAAAAACAATAATGACTGATTTGGAAAGGGATTTTAATGTTTATTGGTAAAAATTTTGCTTCAAAAAACATAAAAAATATACATGAACATCAAAATTTGAGAGCTGTCATCTGTACGCGGCTATAGCCAGCTTCTTATTTGAATTTTCCCGTTCCACCTTAAATAGAGCAGCCGTTACATTCCGCTGACTGAGGCGCCACAATGTAACTGTTGCACCATTTAAGGTGGACCGGAAAAATTCGGCTGTTCGTGTCGTCTGTTTAGTGTATCGGCGTTTAACATCCGCTCCAGCTTAATCTCCCCCTTTATTACAGACATCCCAGTCAAATATAAGTTAGAAAGGAGCGGACTGGAGGCTGTAATCCCCCCGTGTTCCTACCTGCACAGCTCGGCTGAATAAAGTCCCAGCGTCCGCCGCCAGGCGCCTCACACTGAACTCCATCTCGGCTAGCGGCTAGCAGGCTAACGCCATTCACAACAATGGTAAAAACGGCTAACGGCTACCTGGGCTACTCGGTTTATTGATCTGAAACAGTCAGTCGGATCCTTATAGTCTTAGATTATCAGTTAAAGTCATTAGTTAATCCGAGTTAAACTGGATTACCGCGCTTTGTTCCGGAGCTGGAAGGAAAGCTAACGCTAAAGCTAGCGGCCAGCGTTAAGGCTAAAGCTAACACTGCCTGTAAACTAAGTCTAGTGTCACGCCCACTCCTCCCTCATTGGCTGAAACAGGCAGGAAGAGTTTATAACCACGCCCACTGCCACACTCGTGTAGGAAGCTTCATATTTCTACTCTTTTAAGGACAACAAAGCAACAAAATAACAACAAAACAACAACAAAATAACAGCAAAACAACAAAACAATAAAACAACAACAGAACAACAACAACAAAACAACAACAGAACAACAACAGAACAACAAAACAACACAACAAAACAACAACAACAGAACAACAAAACAACAACAACAATAATAATAATAATAATAATACTTTAATATATGTAAAAAATATATTTAAATAGCAGTGGTGGACAGTAATGAAGTAAATGTAATTTGTTTCTGTACTTAAGTAGTTTTTTCATGTATCTGTACATTACTGCACTACTGTACTTTAGTTTTTTCCATTTTAGGTGTCTTTTTACTTTCACTCCACTACATTTCAAAGTCAAATATCTCACTTTTTACTCCGCTACACTATGAGAAATCTGTCGTTCCTTTTGGTTTATTGTGCATAAAAACGTAACATGTCAAAATGAAACAAGCATGAAGCAAAAACACCAATCAGCACAGCGGTCACTTTGTTTTGAGCTTGTTTTGACCTGTTGGACATACCGACCCAGGTAAAGCAGGACAGGGTTAATGCAAACACTAACTGACACTCACACATCAAAGAATTAGTGAACAGATATAACATATCGCTCTAGACTTTGTGGGTAAACAGACCACAATATAGAAATATGTACTCATATGCAGTTGTGACTGACGTGTCTTTATTCTGAATTTATACAAACACATTTCATTTTATAGTAAATTAGTTTGGTCTAGTTTATGTTTATGAACAGAGACCTACAGATGCAGTTTAGTAAAGGAAACTCATTTGTGAATCTGAGTTTAAAGTTTTTATTAAACTTAAACTTGTAACTAAGTTCAAATAAATCTTAAACTGAAACTTTGCTTGTTTGTAAAAAGTGATTTCAGAGCCACTCAGTTCTACCTGATGGAAACTGTTCGCCTTCAGTGTTTTGTGCTTATGATAATTTTAATAGACATCAGCGTCACTAATTAACGACATTCTATTAAAAGACTGGTTTACCAAGAGAGACACTGGAGTATTTTCACCTAAAATGAGTTAATGAAGCGAGTCTTGTTACAAAAATGATAACAGGACATTAGAGCCATAATTAATCTTTTAGATACTTAAGTACATTTGAAGGCAAATACTTTAGTACTTTTACTCAAGTGGAGGTCTAAAGGGAGGAACTTCTACTTTTACTGGAGTAATATTTTACCTTGGGTATCTCTAACTCAAGTACATGGTTTGTGTACTTCGTCCACCACTGTTAAATAGTACAGAGCCCTTAAGGTGGTATGGTGATCATTTTTTAATAGGGCGTGGCCACAAATTAACATTTTGAGGCCACAAGATATGAGAACTTTAACTCATGGTCTCAGTTAAGCAATTTGTGGCCTATAAATATTGACTTGTAGCCACAGCTTATTAAACAACGATCACCACGTCACTTTAGTGGCTCTATATTATAACAAGAACTGCAAAAAGCGCTTCATGAAGAGATTAAAGTAAAAAATAAAAGACAGAAAAGGCTGTAAAAAAATAGCTGATAATAAAGAACATTAAAATAAAATAGAGGGACAAAAATGAAAAAGGTTTTAAGGGTAGTTTATAGTTTTCAGTCATGAAAAATTACAACATTTGTCTAATTTAATGTAGCAGGTTGTTTTGTAAAACCATGTAAGTAGCACTTTTATAAACTCTATGATCATGTTATTAATTATAATAGTATCGTGAATTATTAACATTATTATTTAAAATAAATAAATGTGCTAAACACGTTTCAGACTAGTTTATGTATATAAGTTGGCTGTGTCTCCTCAAAATGGCACAAAACCACCTTCCTGAACATGAGAAGAACAAAGCTGTGCTGAGGTTATGGCACAGAAATAACATGCTAATAAAGACATTACTTGCATTTTTAGAACTTGGAATTGAGGATGATAATCATATATTAAAAAAAGACATATTCATATTGCTCACTGATACAGAGATAGCAAAATCAGCACAAAACTAATGAAAGAAAATCCAATTTCTCAGTCACTACAATCCATAATTGTCTATAATAAGCACACTTACACAAGCCTGGTTCAGTCAGCTGTGTAATACTGAAGATAACACGGCTTCGATTAAGCACTTAAAGCAGTTTCATAAAAGAAGGTAACACAGTAAGTGATAAAATTAAGTTTTATTGCACACAGTGGATAATTCTTTAACACGGGATGCTGCGAGTCAACAGAACAAATGAATCCAGTTCTAACCTTACACAGATTTCAGTTTGAACTGTCATGAACTGTTCTTATTAAATCACAGCAGCCCTGAATAAAGAAGGTGGAGTAAAAATAAAGGAGTCTATGATTTGTCTGCTCCAACGGTGCTCCTGGAGAGCTCCAGCAGAGCCCCGTATCGTAAAGTTCGGCTCTTCCACGACTCCGGGATTCCCTGATGACCGACCTGAGCAAACGAGGGACACACAATGAGATACAGCACTGATTTTATACCCCATGACCAACAGTGATGTGGGTATTCTACTGTTGTGAGGTTGGACGAGCTGTACAAAGTCATGTTCTACAGTTTCTCATTAGGCTGAATGAATAACTGACTCTAAATGTAGGTATTGTGATATAAACTGAGTCTGTTCTACAGTTTCTCATTAGGCTGAATGAATAACTGACTCTAAATGTAGGTATTGTGATATAAACTGAGCCTGTTCTACAGTTTCTCATTAGGCTGAATGAATAACTGACTCTAAATGTAGGTATTGTACCTGAGCTCCAATACAGGCCCCGATGAAGGAGCTCCTGCTGCAGCTGCAGCCCCCACAGCTCATGGTTTCCCTCACAGCCTGTTCAAACCCCACAGCCGTCAGGACTCCATGCAGCGCTGCCTGGAACGCACCGGGCAAACCTGCAAACATCAGCACAAACACAATAGACCAGTTAGACTGTTCTTTAAAAGGGGAACCTTGCCAATTTTTCCAAATTCCCCCATTATTAAGTGGTTAAGATGTAATCAGAGTGGTTCTGAGTGGTTTGGTGTGAAACGCTTTGTTCTAGATAAACTTACCGAGTCAGAACTGTTCACAGTGGTGGTGATAGGAACCAGATGTCCCCCTCTAAAAGCTCCCTCACAGAAAGTTCCTACATGAAATGGTTATGAATTCACTGCCTGATGACTGAGACACTGTTTTATGATAGTTTAGAGAGCTTAAACTCCATTCATGGTGGAGGGATACATGCAGGGCACTGTGAGGCAAAATAGTCCCCAAAGAAAACTTATTATTTCAGATTTTCCACTATTTTCCATCATCAACATTCCATATAAACTCAGAAGACTCGTGTAGGTTCACTGGTGGTTTTGGATAGTAAATAAAATGTCTATATTTGTGTTGTAGTCATGGCGACCCCTGGTTCCTATCACCACCACTGTAAAGACATCTGAACCATTTCACCCCAAACCACTCTGAATCACTCTGATTACACCTCACACACTGAGTTATGCGGAAATAAAAAAAAAATCAGTTGGATTCCCCTTTAATCGTATATGCTCGTACACCTTGCTTTGATTTTTACTGTTATTTTTTTTATTAAGTAAGAAAAAGAAAAGAAAATAAGCTCTGTGCTCATCATTTGGTCATATTTATCTTCAACACTCAGCTTCACGTCAATCAAAGGGCGTCCTTCCACAGCACAGTCAAAAACCACAACTGACTCAAATGGGAACCAACAAGACCAGCAGTTCTAATAGTTCATTTTCTACTGCGAATAATGATTTAATCATATTTTTAGTCATTTTATACCACTTTACATTGCCTAATTTGATTAACCATCTATGGCCAATGGAAAAAGCACTAACTAACTCAATAAGCATAGAAACAAGGAGGTGGTCATAATGTTATGCCTGATCGGAGTATATATATATATTTTTTTTATTCTACAATAACACTGTGCAACTGAGATTATCACTCACCTTGCCCCTGGGTAAATGTGATGTGACAATAAACGTGTTTTGATTTTGATTTGATTTGATTTATCAAACATTTTGGAAACCAAGGTGTCCCTAAACACCCATCAGACAGCGCATATTTATGGTGCAACAATGTACAGTTAGAAACGAAATAACAATCTGATTCTGCTGTAAATGTTCATGTAGAAATGGCTCTATGGGTAAAACGTGGGGGTTGAATCTGGCCATACAATTCAAACCACTTTTAGTGGAGACACTGTAATCTGCGCTGCCGTTAAGGGTTTTCTGAATCTGCGTCTGTGGATCTAAACGTACCTCAGGTGTTTGTAAACACTGCAGGAAGCAGCTCCTTCTGGGATTTGCTCAAATTATCCTTCACTTCATGAATCTGTCCTAAACAGAAAGACAGTGTCAGTTAATTCAGTGTAAAAACATTGGATTTCCAATCAATTAAACTTTAACCTCTTTCCACAGTGCAGTGCCCTCTAGTGGCCATTTGGCAGAGCAGAAATTGACTATTTTTAAATCTATATAATCAAATAAAATATGTGTTTCCCGTAACTCTAGGACTCTGTCGTCTCTCTGTGTGTGAAATGTTGTTGAGCTGCTAGCAAGCAACGAGGGGTGAAAGGGGAGGGGTGAGAACCCCTGCTGAGAAAAAATATTCACACCTCTCCACAAAGATGAAGACAAAATGGACAAATGCTGCTTTCTTAATATCAAACAATCCTGTACGACTGACACGATAAACACACAGCATTTAAACACAATTACAACACTTTTTAGAAGTGCTGACTCGCTCGCTCACCTACAGAGAAAATCCAGTTTTGTAAATTATACACATTTCCACTGAAATATGCTGTATTTCATCAATATTCCTGAATAAGACATTAAAGAAACTGCATTTCATAGCTACCGTGAAAAAGGTTAATTATTCCTGCATCGTCATTTAAAGGCAGGAATAAAACACAATGAACATAAAAGTACACGAGACAGCTGCACATATTCTTCTCAAACAGTTTATCTTCGTCAAAAATCGCTGTTCTTAGTTAGTCTTTTTAAACGCAGCTCTGCTATTTTCGTGTATTTTGTGTATTCCTCAAGTGTTGTGATGTTATGTGTTGGTAAAACAGCCCACAGTCCTATTTTAGAAGTTTCTGGGGTTTTTGGAGGATCATACCTGCCACAGCTTTGTCCAGCTCTTGTGGGTTTTTCCTGTTTGGGTCGTTGAGCTGCTTCAGGACGGCGGTCAGGGCGTCAGGATCAGCACCATTCAGAATAAAATGCTCCAGGAACCTTTCAGACCAACAAAGAAAGTCAGAATCTCCTGGTTATGAACATTCAGGACATGAACATCAGCATCGGATTCACATAAGGGCTGTAAAGCTGAGCTCCAAAATGATCTGCACATCCATGCAAAATGTCTGGAAGATGAAAGAAATGAAGATGTTTTGCTTCATTGATTCTGCACAGGTGCTACTACGCTAACATAGCTACACTGTAAAAATCAGTTTAAGCTAAGAGCAGAGCTCGATTTGTGCAAAGCTAAGCGACGGCGTTTTAGGGCCACTGTTAAAAAAATAAAAATAATAGACTTTGACAATAAAGTCGTTATATTTCTAGAATAAAGTCGTATTTATTAGAATAAAATCTCAATGTTTCGAAAAAAAGTTGTAATATTTTGAGAATAAAGTCATAAAGTTACAAGAATAGACTCGCGATATTTGGAGGATAAAGTGGGGTAACTGTAGGGCGGCTGCCAAAACGTGTTGGGGCCTCGGTTGCTGTATTGGTGACGACGAAGACGCCGATCGATCATTTTGACTATCATTCTTTCTCCTGTGAAACTACCTGCCCTCTTCCAGTGGCACAGAGCTGTAGCCACCGATAGCCGTGTAGACGGTCACTGCCTGTGATTCTCCTTCAACAATAGAGGCAGTTTCCTCCAATAGAGGCGGTTTCCTCCGAGTCCGTCTCGTTCTTTATTCTAAATAAACACAGTTTCCTGCTCAGCCGTTTCTTATACTAACAGTATAAGATACTAACAGGCTGGTTTGATGTGCTGAGACTGAGTATTTCTTTACTGATGAAACTTTACCAACTAATCAACGTCCCTCATTTCAACACGAGGAGGTGCTGCCTTCCTTTTGCAAAGACTTCGGCTACAATACCACAGCGTTTCCTGGTAAAACCCACTTTAATGTCGTAATTCTACAACTTTCTCAAAATATTATGACTTTAGTCTTAAAATATTATGACTTCATTTTTAAAATCGTACCATATGACGTACCAATCATACCATACGACTTTTTATCTTGAAATATTATGACTTTATTCTCAAAAGTCTACTATTTTTTATTTTTTTAACAGTGGCCCTAAAACGCTGTTGTAAAATTCAGCTCCTTGTTTACATCTTAAATATATTAATGAACGTTCGCCCCAACTATTTTAGCATTTAGCCACTGGGAAAGGTTTACCTGGCCGCTGCGAGGGTCACCGCCACACAGGTGTCGCTATTCTGAGTGACCCGTATGGCGTCTTCGACTTTCTCCAACATCTCAGGCTTCCCGGCGTAAAACGCTACGATGGGAGCCAGCTTGGCCACACCGTCCATCTGAGTATCACTGACACAGCCTGCAGGACAGCAGACAGTTAAATCAGCTAAATCAGTTGAATCAGTTAAATCAGTTGAATCAGTTGAATCAATCTCTGCTTTATTTTTATAGGAAACACTGTAAGTGATGAGAGAAGCTCTATTTAATGCGTACCTGTTTCTGTCTTGCCTGAATCCACATTTCTGATAAAGCTTTTTAAGCTTGCTTGTCTCCAGGGTCCTTCAATGGGCAGCTGAGGTCTCGGAGCTTAGGTTAAAAAAAAACACAATTAATTCAAAGTGTGAAACACAGGGGGATCTGGGGGGTCCGGGACAACCTAATTAACGTCTTGGACACCCTGGCTGTCTCAGAATCAAAATTCTAGAGGGTCCGTAAAAATAAACGTACGACAAACACTGTCAATTTGGGAAAAACAGACTCTCAAATCCAGATTCAGTGGAGCTGATTGTTTATCTGCTTCCCCCACAGTCAGCTTCTGTCTCTGCTGATCTAAACTAACTAGAGCTGCAGCTCTGCTCCGCCTCAGGGTGGCGCTGTAGCAGACTGGTTCACCCAGTTGGTCCTTCATAGCCTAGAAACTGTAACTCTGCCCGGATTCCTCTGAAAAACTTTACAATGAGCTGCAGCAGATCTGTAAATCTGAAAACTCGCCCAGTTTCCCAAGAGTTTGGAGTGAAGAGTGACTGTTCCTCATTTCTCACACTGAAGACAGAAGAGGAGACGAGGGAAGATCTCAGTTACTGTGAGGAAGAGCGCAGAACCGCACTAGAACAGAGACTCTACAGAAGAGGAGACGAGGAAGATCTCAGTTACTGTGAGGAAGAGCGCAGAACCGCACTAGAACAGAGACTCTACAGAAGAACAGCTGATAAAACAAACATTTACTGACATTGAAGCTTCAGCGCCGCTATGGAGAGAGAGTTAGCAGACAGACAACACGGGACCCCCGAATACCGGGGGGGGGATTCTGCTGAATTACTGAATTAACTATCCAGGCTCCACCCACAAATTCTTTATAGAACGCTGAAAATCCCATTCAACCTAATGAGAAACTGAAAAACTTACACCTCATATTGTTGTTGTACACATAATCTAGATTTTGTCGCAGTTGTACAAAAAAACATGTCTGTGATCTTATAGGAGACGGAAAAACACTTCTAACATTTGTTAATGTCACTTAAAGAAATCTTTAAAGGGCCCTTAATAATAATAATAATAGTAATAATAATAATAATTTTTATTTATAGAGAACTTTTCATGCTGGTGGCAGCTCAAAGTGCTTTACAGACAGGAGATAAAGCTTAACAGTAATACAAGAAATTATAAGTATTAATTTAGAATCCTAAGAAAATGCGTTTTCATATGCTTCTTAAAAGTGAGCTCTGAACTTGACTGTCTAATAAAAGCTGAACTGAGCTCCACAGTTTAGAAGCAGAATAACTGAAAGAGTCTCTCCACGTTTTCTGTATTTTACTGAAGGTGTTTGTAGTTTAGTATCTGCAGATCTAAGATCATAAACAGACAGACACTCTGTGATGTAAGCAGAGCTTAAAGGTCATTTACAGCTTTAAAAACCAGTAGCATAGCTTTAAAATCTATCCTGATTGATTCAGGCAGCCAGTGCAGCTCTATTAAATGGGACTGATCTGATCTTTCTGTGTTGTTTGTGTTAGGATGCTGATGCGTTTTGTACGAGTTGTAAAGGATGTATAGTTTTCTTAGGAAGTTCAGTACGAAGATCATTACAGTGATCAACTCTGCTGGAACAAATGCATCAACAAGTTTCTCTGCGTCGCTCTGAGAGAGAAAAGGCCGAACTTTTCTCTGATTTGATATTTCTCAAATGATAAAAAGCTACTTTAGTGACTGTTTACATGCAGATTAAACAGAGCTCAGAGTCTAAGATCACGGTCAGGTTTCACACCTATCATGGAAAAACAGAATCTCATGTTGTTGTTGGTCATTTTTTGAGTGTAAATAAGTTACACATCCTGTACAGAGACACACATTTTAATACACAGTTACTGTTTATTTGCTGAATTTAACACACTAGAGAGAAATAAAGCATAAAATGTCTGTGCAAAAGTTGTGGCACATAACTTATATTTTATATTTTATGTTTGATTTTTTCATTTTTTTGCGCTCTAAAATTTGCAGAAAAATGTGTTATTTAAATCTGACCTCTGGAGAGGATGTGTTAAATTATTTTCACTTAGCAAATGAACAAAACATCTAAATATTTTACATATAGTATTTTAATGAACTTGTAATTTTCCATAATCGTCTAAATCATAAAATATTTTGAAATTTAAAACAATAAACATTTTTTTTGCCAAATTCCACAGACGACAACCTGCCTACTTACACTTAAACTAATCATCATGTATCAACCCCTTAAAATCTCCGGCTTATTACATACTGAGGTCTATTGTTTATTAACTATAGGGACAAACTGGCCGAGCTGTTCTTAGATGATAGAAGTGTGTAATAAAACTTTGGCCATGTTAGCAGTTAAATAAAGGAGTATGAGGTCCTCTGTAAACATTTCAAACAGTTGCAATTCAATTCACTCCCAACTCCATACAGTCTATATATGAAAACTAATCTGTGATGTCACAAGAACCACCTTGTTTACATATCTCCACCTATTAAGCCTGCATGAGTTTAACTCTGCCCACTCTCACTGAAGCTTTACGGAGTGTTTTAGGCTGGAATGCTTTTTGAATGAGGCACAGCCAATCAGAACAGAGCTCATTTACATGTATCAGCCTTCACATAAACAGCCTGTTTATATCTAAGGACAAAGGGTGGTTACAAAATGATCAAGTTAAAATAAATTTTGACCATTTTTGATATATAAAACCACATAAATGGAAAAAATAAAGTGCAAAAAAATTAGAAAAAGGTTTTTAAAGGTTCGCTTTTTCACAGTTTGACCATTCACCTAAAAATGACCATTTTTAGATGAATAAGCAGAACTGAAGGAGCTCCTGTGTGGTAAATAAACAGCAGTATTTCTGTGAAAAAGGATGATCTCACCTCCTTTATCTCTGTATGGATCATTAACAGGCGTGTCGTACTCTGATCCGGGGCCAAAGAACTTGTACATGCGCCGCTTTAAATCTTCCTCGTCCAAACCTTCCAGAAGGAAAAGTTCAGTGTTAAAACCCAACTCAGATGTCTTTACAGTGGTGGTGATAGCAACCAGGCGTCGCCATGACTACAACACAAATACAGACATTTTATTTACTATCCAAAACCACCAGTGAACCTACACGAGTCTTCTGAGTTTATATGGAATGTTGATGATGGAAAATAGTGGAAAATCTGAAATAATAAGTTTTCTTTGGGGACTATTTTGCCTCACAGCGCCCTGCATGTATCCCTCCACCATGAATGGAGTTTAAAAATGTTTTATAACTAAAATCTTCTAAAAACTATGATAAAACAATATCCACGTTTACATGCAGCCTGATGATCTGTCAGTAATCTAAAAGCTAAATCGGAATAGAATGAGGCTCTTTTCCTGCCCTGTTGTGGCTCCACAGCTGAATCAGATTTGTAGGTAAAAATAAAATAATCCTCCTTTACAGTAAAATAAAGCTCTGCTGATCGTTCAACACAGTTTAACAATAAATGGTCTTAAACTCTGGAGTTAATGTAGAACTGCTGATTCACCCTTTAACCCTGAAGATCAGCGCAGACTGCTGGTCACCATAGCAACACACCTAGCTTAGAATACTTACTTTGCTCTGCTTTAAGCTTTCGCTCAGCTGTAGCCGCTTTTCTCGCATCTCCGGCAGGAAGATGCGAGTAGAACAGTTTCTTGTAAAATGTCTCTCAATGTTTGACTTTTTATGAGGCTGAAGTCGCTTCTCATTCGCCAGCTTCTTGTTCTAATTTTCCTGTTCCACCTTAAATGGTGGATGAGGCACCAGAATGTAACTGCTGCACCATTTAAGGTGGAACGGGAGAATTCAAACGAGAATTCAGTGATTTTTTAGTGTTTGTCAGTTTCTCGTTGCAGATTAAACGTATCAGGAAACCAGCTGGAGTGATTATAAACATAAATAAGTCCATTCGTCTCCAAATTATTGATGTTCGTCTTAAATCTCTCTCTTTGCCGTTTCGTTAGCTACTAGCTAGGAGAGACTGTTGTCTGTGTTGCTATGGTGACCAGCAGTCTGCGCTGATCTTCAGGGTTAAAGGGTGAATCAGCAGTTCTACATTAACTCCAGAGTTTAAGACCATTTATTGTTAAACTGTGTTGAACGATCAGCAGAGCTTTATTTTACTGTAAAGGAGGATTATTTTGTTTTGGATCTGATTATTGTAGTGAGCATGTAAACAGAGATTTTCATCAGACTATTGAATAGAGTGTGATATAAACACCTCAGTCTTAATCTATAATCGGAATGAATTCAGTCAGATTGGTGAAAATCACTGCATGTAAACACAGCCACTGTCTCAGTCATCAGGCAGTGAATTCATAACCATTTCATGTAGGAACTTTCTGTGAGGGAGCTTTCAGAGGTGGACGTCTGGTTCCTATCACCACCACTGTGAACAGTTCTGACTCTGTACGTTTCTCTAGAACAGAGCGTTTCACACCAAACCACTCTGAACCACTCTGTTTACATCTTAACCACTTAATTATGGGGGGATTTTGTAAGTTCAGTGGAGTTCCAAACAAAAAAAGAAAAGGTTAATCACAGCAGCCTGTGCTCTTATTTACCTCCACACTCCAATAGAGACTCCAGAAGAACAAAGGCCTGATCTCCATAACAGCTCTGCCTGCCCGTTTCCCTCCTGTAGAACGGGTTCACGGACTCGGGCCTGAACTCCGGTTCTGGATTCTGATATAAATACTGGCTGAGCTTCTGTAGATCATAAACCCAGTGCATTGGCTGAGCTGCAGAAACAGGATCAGGTGATTAGAGAGCTTTAACAGCAGCACAACAGAGAATTGAGTGAAGATAATGCTGGAACAAACCTGCAGCATCGGCCACAGCTGACCCAATGATCGCTCCGATGGCCCGGTCAGCAAGGGTGAGGGCCATCTACAACAAGAGACATTCAATATACCTACTTACAATTGACCTTAAACGGGAATTTATGGGAATTTTGTTCTAATTCAGCATAACTCAGTGTGTGAGATGTAATCAGAGTGATTCAGAGTGGTTTGGTGTGAAATGGTTCAGATGTCTTTACAGTGGTGGTGATGGGAACCAGGGGTCGCCATGACTACAACACAGATATAGACATTTTATTTACTATCCAAAACCACCAGTGAACCTACACGAGTCTTCTGAGTTTATATGGAATGTTGATGATGGTAAATAGTGGAAAATCTGAAATAATACGTTTTTTTTTGGAACAGCTTTGAAAAATGGGTTATCTGGTTCCTATCACCACCACTGTGAACAGTTCTGACTCGGTAAGTTTCTCTAGAACCGAACGTTTCACACCAAACCACTCTGAACCACTCTGTTTACATCTTAACCACTTAATTATACAGAACATTTTAAAATATTAGTGACATTCCCTTTAATATGAGGCAGTATGTTTGAACTAGTACTACTTCAGTTCTCAGACTCAAGCTGTGCAGAATGTAAATAAAAATAGGATGCAATGATTTGCAAATCATGTAAACCATATTTTTAAAGGAAAATACTACGAAGACAACATTTCAAATGTTGAAACTGATTTTATTGTTTTTTGAAAAATATTTGCCCATTTTGAATTTAATGCCAACAACACGTTCCAAAAAAGTTGGGACGGGGGCCTGTTTACCACTGAGTTTCATCACCTCTTTTTTTAACAACACTCTGTAAGTGTTTGGGAACTGAAGAGACGCTGCTGTAGTTTTGAAAGTGAAATGTTTTCCATTCTTGTTTGATACAGGATTTCAGCTGCTCATCAGTTCAGCGTCTCATTTGTTGTATTTTTCATTTCATAATGCACCAAATGTTATCAGTGGTGACAGGTCTGGACTGCAGGCAGGTCAGTTTGTGAATGTGGTTTGGCATTGTCTTGCTGAAATAATCAAGGCCTTCCCTGAAAAAGACGTCATCTGGATGGCAGCATATGTTGCCAAAACATGTATATATCGTTCAGCTTTAATGGTGCCTTTACAGATGTGCACGTCACCCATACCATGTGCACTAATGTCCCCTATACCATCATGAATACTGGCTTTTGAACTGTATGCTCATAACAAGCTGAGTGGTCTTTAGCCCGGAGGACACAGTGTCCATGATTTCCAAAAAGAATTTCTTTTTAAACATTTGTCATCTTCTGAATAAATAAAAGCACAGAGAAAAATGTATTCACAAAGCACAAACACATTAGTGCAACCACTGTTATCGGTTTGCCATAGAGGGGTAAGGGTCATTCTACAGAAACGTCCATTTTTGTGTCCCTGGCGTTTACAGATATATTACACTTCAAAAACATGTTAGGGTTACAATTTTTTTACATTTTCAAATAAAACAATAAGTTATTTTAACAATTTCACCTTCTTGATCCATCAATTTAGCAATATTGGTTTTTAAATCAATTATCTAGAATTCCAAGCACCACAGAAGAGCTCGTCCCCACAGTCATGTAAAGGCTGAGGCCATATTTTGAAGAAAAAAAACACATTTTTCTGCAATTTTAACTACAATAATCTATACATGACTATGAAATATATTAATTAAATGACAAAGAAAACAAATCACAAATAAATATTATAAAATATATAATGAAAGTTGTCCCCAGGAGTCGTGTCACTGGTGTTACTGCATAACAAAAAATCTCTTATTTGGAATAAAAGTCACACTGATGACATCACTCGACTTCCTTTTACCTGTTTTCTGAGGATCTATGAAGAAAAGCCCATGGTGAGTCCACTGAGTCTTTCAGTTATCAGAGATTTTCTCATTCAGCTCATGATTTCATATGAAGCTTTTAGCTGAAGTCACTGGTGTGACCGACTTTATTCTGAGGTAATTGTGAAAAAATAGAATACAAATGGATTAAATTCCATATTTTAGTGGATATTCCATGATTGACAACATGTGGTTTGATGCTCTGTAGCAGGTATTTAGTAAAATGCATTGTTCATTAAAATGTCTCTGGTGTTCCTTTATTATGTGCAACACCAATGAGGATCGGTAACACCAGTGACTCCTATGGACAGATAGAAAAGTGGACGTTTCTCTAGAATGAGCCACTAATGTAAGTTGGATATAAGAGAGATCCATATATGCTAATATGTCATATATTTGAAATCCATATTGCCTTATATCAGATTTCTGTATGTGGGCAATATAGCTAGTATATGAAATACTAACAGTGTTGGTATTACTAAAGTACAGCACTACTCGTGGAAATACCTTAGAGTTCCACTACACACCAGCCACCTAAATGCATGGATTATAGCGAACAAACCTCTCAGAAAACAAGAACACAAGCTTTCTTATTCGAATTTGACGTTCCACCTTAAATGGTGCAGCACTATCAGCTGCACTATTTAAGGTGGAACGGCAAATTCAAATAAAAGAAGCCAAAACGAGGAGAAAAGCGGACAAAAACAGTACTGATCCACCTGCTGTCGACTTTTTAAAGAAAAGCACAATTATTTAGTGTCTTTAAACAACATTAAAATCTTGATGAAGTCACCTTAATCGCCGGTTCCGTTCGCTCCGCTCACTCGAGGCGCTGCAGTTACACAACACTGATAGAACGATAAAGCGCTGTTGTTATGGAACGCGAACAGCCGCGTTTGATTGGACGAGAAGGGACTCGTAATCAACTGACGTCAGTACGTACGCGCATGACGCACTTTGGCTGATTTCCAAATAATCTTCGGCTTAGGGTGCTGTACGTTTATGACTTGTAGATCGCAGAATACGTACAAACCGTAACATTCGTACGTAAAAGCCGCATTTGTGCATTAGAATGTCTGTTTTGGAACCGTTTTGATCTTTAATGTAATGTTGGCTACTTTAGAATCCATATTTTGTTTTATTTTTTGTTTGTTTGTTTTGCTTTTTTTACTAAATCAAACTGATGAGGCGCACAAAGCTTTAAAGGGGAATTCCACTGAATTTTTAAAAATTTCTCCGTAAGTCAATTGCTGCGACGTAATCAAGAGTGGTTCAGAGTGGTTCGGTGTGAAACGCTCTGTTCTAGAGAAACTTACCGAGTCAGAGCTGTTCGCAGTGGTGGTGATAGGAACCAGACGTCCACCTCTAAAAGCTCCCTCACAGAAAGTTACTACAGGAAATGGTTATGAATTCACTGCCTGATGACTGAGACACTGTTTTATGATAGCTTTGAGCTACAACACACTTTTTAAAATCCATTAATTGGTGGAGTGACACATAAGGCAGACTAGTTCCCAATAAAACTATTTGTTTTTAGATTTTCCACTATTTTCCATCATCAACATTCCATATAAACTCAGAGGACTCGTGTAGGTTCACTGGTGGTTCTGGATAGTAAATAAAATGTCTATATTTGTGCTGCAGTCCCTGGTTCCTATCACCACCACTGTAAAGACATCTGAACCATTTCACACTAAACCACTCTGAATCTCTCTGTTTACATCTCAAGTGCTGTATTATGCGCAACATTTGGGGTAAAAACAGTAACATGCCATGAGGATGATACACTGTGAGTGAACAGCAAATATTAGATGGAAAGAAGTAAAATTGTGAATATGACTCAAAATCCAGGGCTAGAGAAGTCTGAATGCTTCAGAAACTCTTGGTTTGGATTTACATCATGAATTCTGCCACAATAAGTTGTTTCTAAATGGTTTAGGTCACCGCTGTGTGTTGCAAAGGCCCGGAACCCATCGCATGCTAATCTAATGCTACCATGAGTGTTTTTGAAGAGTTTTGTCTTGTGAAATAAAATAAAGCAGTAAAGGAAATGAACCCCTGGTAATCTGGCTGACCCTCTTACAACCTTCAGGGTTCAACAAAGCCTATGAAGTATATTTGGTCTCACATTAAACATAAACTATCTTGTCAGTGTTTTTCAGCTGTTTGAAGCCGTCAGTACTGAGTGGATCAATTTGTTTAATTCTTGCTTTTTTACTGACTAATAATTTGTTGTTAAGATTATTAAAAGCTAAATGTTTTGCATTGGCTTTATTTCATAACATCATATTAATATGATGTTATGTGCAGTCGTTTTTTTATTATTATGTTATTTCTCTATTTTCTATATTTGTATTTTTTTGTAGTTTTATATTTAAATTGGCAGATATATTTTTTGCTTGTTTGAAGCACATTTAAAACAAGCTACCAAACCAACTTTGTCAGATAAATTAATTAATAAAATTAACTTTAAGTTAACGGTCCAATATCATGAAAAAAAAATCAAATTTTTATTGCTTTTTTAAATAAAATAATATGGTAACTGAACCTACAGCAGTTTGGCCCCTCCCATTCACACTAAAGCTATAAGAAGTGTTTCAGCCTGGATTGCTTTTTGAATGAAGCACAATACAGGGCAGCCAATCAGAACAGAGCTCATTTACATATATTTATCTAAGAGGCACTGTAACACAATCAGTCTGTTTAATTCTGGAGTCATGTAGAAGTTAATTATATTTTTGGTACATAAACTCACACAAACCTTAAAAGAGATCCAAAAATAAGATATTAGAAAAATGTAGGATATGTGTTGTTTAAATAATCTTATAATATTCCGGCAACAATCTCAAAATGAGAAATGTTGAATGTATCGACTAGATTTAAAAGTGTTTTGGGGGACACTTGACATGGTTGTGCCTCTCAGGAGCTCAGAGATGTGTATCCAGGGGGCGCCGTTCTTGTCTTTTGCCCAGAACCCCAGAGTCGTAGCATCTATAAGCTTGTGCGTGCTTTAGTTAAGGCCTAACGGGTTCCTTATGTGCCCCGAGTTGGACACACAGTAATGTTAGGAGGCTCTTAATTAAAACGGAGGAACTGGCCCCCCGTGTAAGAGGAACTCTTGGCCCCATTCTGTGGCAGTGTTGACCCATCACTCGCTAAGACAAGCATTTTAGCAGTTTGCCTCATACAGCGTGATGAAATTTCAGACAGACGCCGCAGAGTCCTCAGAATGTTTCCCCACCATAAACGTCGTGCCAGTTTTCTCCCATAATGTGTTGCTCTCGCTGTGGAGGGGCATAAAAGGTAGTTTTAATGGCCATAAGCAGGGGCTTCACCTGGCCTGGGCGGGTCAAGAGGAGTGCGGGTCAGTGTGGCTGTGCAGTAGAGCTTGAGGACCTGCTCTGAATGAGTACAAGCAGTTTGGTGGCTGTTGGGCAAAGGAATAATTGGGCTTGTGGGGGGGGCAAAAATGAATGGGAGTCTATGGGAGAAACAAGGGATGAGAAAAAAATGACAAAGAGATGAGAACTACATTGAATTCGTACACGGGGGTCAGCCCTGAGATCATGTATGTGAGCAGAAGTACAGTAGATGCGTGTGCCACTCTTGCACCCCATTCATTCCTATGGGACAATATTGTAAATTAACGAAGATTGTACGAAAAGCATGCATGCAAAACTATATACAAGCACACCTTTCCCAATCAGACCCAACATTTGAGTTGGAATGGTGTCGATATCTTGAAAACTGCCAATCGATTAGCGGATTAATATCTGGCAGAATAATAATAATAATAATAATAATGATAATAATGACGATAATAATAATAATAATAATAATAATAATGAAAAAAAGAAGAAGAAGAATATACCACTGGATAACAATAGCAATGCATAATCTCTAATAATATAGTGTTATCTAAAATATATGCAACGCACAGTCACAAAATAGTGTTTTATAGATTTTCCCTTTTCTAGCTTTGTGTAATTATGTGTAATTCTGTAACTGTACACTGTTAGAAATGAAGGTTCTGTTCAGGTACATTTTTCGTACATCAAGGTACAAACAGCGTAAATGTTCCCTCAAAGCTCCAACAGTGGTTTTAAGGTCTGATTGTGAACCTTAAATAAGTGTTTCCAGGTGAAAAGTTCGTATTTGTACCTCTTTCATAACCGAATGTTTTAAACAGAACAGTAAAATAAAAGCCTGGAGACGAGACGGGGTGTGTGGAGTCAGTACAGCTTAGAACATATCATTTCAGTGGATTATGGTTCAGTTATGTTCCCTGACTGAAGGTACTGAGATGGACCCTTGAGTGTCCCACCCCAGTGACAAGAGGGGCACTGACCCAGTGACAGTTTTGTACCTTTATGTCTGCTTTACGTGTTAAGGAGTATGTGTGTATGTAGGTGTGAGTGTGCAGTATTGATGGCTTGCAAACAGGATTTAATAGCATTTTCGCTTTGGCAGAGCTGAGGCGCCACAAAGAGGAAACGCAATTACAAACTGCAAAATCCTTTTTTAATATGTTGGAACATTAAAAAAATAAAAATTAAATGCCAAAAAAATGAACTTTAACAGTCGTCACGTTAGCAGTGTATGGCTGTCTGATCTCATGACGTCTGAAGTGTCAGCGTCTTATGAAGATGTTAAATACAGTTACACCACAAAGTTCTCATTCATTGTATTACTTAGTATATTATAGACATTATTACAGGTATTATAATTTTGACTGTTTCCTATAAAGTAAATATACATGTATAGAATTACTTATTGAAAAAAAGCAATTAACTGACATTTATCATTATTTTTAGAATAACTTTTGAGCATTGAGTACAAGATTCTTCTACTGACGTATAAAGCTCTGAATGGCCTTGATCCTCAGTACCTCAGTGACCTTATTTCCTATTATCAACCGACACGCCCACTTAGATCACAAGGTGCTGCTCATTAATAGTACCCAGAATTAATAAAGTTACGTCAGGGGGAGGAGCCTTTTCATACAAAGCCCCCCCAGCTTTGGAATAGCCCACCAGTCTGTGTTCGGGACTCAGACACAGCCTCCATCTTTAAGTCTAGGCTAAAAACGTACCTGTTTAGTCGAGCCTTTGGTTAATTAGTTTTCCTAACTATGTCCCTCTTATCCCCTTCCCCCCTTGACTTGACTTTTTTCCCTTTTCTTCCCGTTTTTAAACACAATGTTCAACTTATGAGTTTGATTTGATTGATTTATTACACTGACAGGAAAATTACATATATCAAATAAATTCTAACATTCAGTTAATGACGATGTCCATATGTTTACGCAGAGTCTGACAGTTTGCCCCTTGGAATTATACGGTTCTGTCTGTGTTCTGTTATTTTCTGTGTTCACAGAATAAGAACGTGAAAAAAATCAAAGGGACAAGTTGCATAAGTACCTCTACTTTTGTCTTTGTATTAGTACAGCCTCATTTCTAAAAATATTGGGACGCTGTGCAAAATGTAAATAAAAACAAAATGCAATGATGTGTAAATCATTTAAACCCTTTTTTATTGAAAATAGTACAAAGACAACACATCAAATGTTGAAACTGAGAAATTTTATAGTTTTTTGAAAAATATATGCCCATTTTAAATTTGATGCCAGCAACACGTTCCAAAAAAGTTGGGACGGGGGCAACAAAAGGCTGGTAAAGTTGTGTAATGCTTAAAAAAAACATTGGTTGATTGACAACAGGTCAGTGACATGATTGGATATAAAAGAGCATCTCAGAGAGGCGGAGTCTTTCAGAAGTAAAGATGAGGAGGGGTTCACCACTCTGTGAAAGATCTCTACCTTCTCTGGGCCTGAGCTCATTTAAAATGGACTGAAGGGAAGTGGAAAAGTGTCCTGT